ATGAGGGGATTTTGGGGTTTCTGAGGGAATTTCAGGGAGTTTATGAGGGGTTTGGGTGGGCTATGAGGGGATTTTGGGGTTTCTGAGGGAATTTCGGGGAGTTTATGAGGGGTTTGGGTGCATTATGAGGGGATTTTGGAGTTTATGAGGGAATTTCAGAGAGTTTATAGGGGTTTGGGTGCATTTTAAGGGGATTTTGGAGTTTATGAGGGAATTTCAGGGAGTTTATAGAGGTTTGGGTGTATTATAAGGGGATTTTGGGGTTTCTGAGGGAATTTTAGGGAGTTTATGAGGGGTTTGGGTGGGCTATGAGGGGATTTTGGGGTGCCTGAGGGAATTTGGGGGGTTATGAGGCGATTTTTGGGGCTTTATGAGGGAATTTGTGGATTTATGAGGGGGTTTTAGGATCTATGAGGGGATTTAGGGGTCTATGAAAGGATTTTGGGGTTTATGAGGGGCTTATGATGGGTTTTGGGAGTTTATAAAGGATATTGGGGGTTTAAGGGGGTGAGTTTTGGGTTTATGAGGGAATTTGGGGGGTTTATGAGGAGATTTGGGGCATTTATGAGGGGATTTTGGGGGTTTATGAGCAAATTTCAGGGAGTTTATGAGGGGTTTGGGTGGATTTTGAGGTGCCTGAGGGAATTTGGGGGGTTTATGAGGAGATTTGGGGCATTTATGAGGGGATTTTGGGGGTTTGTAAGGGGATTTGTGGGTTTGTAAGGGGATTTTGTAGTCTATGAGGGGAGTGTGGGGTCTATGAGGAGATTTTGGGGTTCATGAGGGGATTTTGGGGGTTTATCAGGGAATTTTGAGATTTATTGGGGAATATGGGGGATTATGAGGGTTTGGGGGGGGTTTATGAGGGGATTTTTTCACTCCCAGCCCCAATTTTTTGCATTTAACCCCCATTTTTTTGCTTTTAACTCCCTTTTTTTATATTCAACCCATTTTAACCTCCATTTTTTTTGCATTTAACCCCGTTTTTTTGCTTTTAACCCCCATTTTCTCCCCTTTTAACCCCATTTTCCCCTTTTTCCACAGCTCTCTTCACCCCCAACGTCCTCTCCGAACTCGCCCACCACCTCCCCGCCATAGCCCTGCTTCATTCTCATTTCTTCACTCCTAATTCCCAATTCTTCCAATTTTATTGGTTTAAACTCCATTTTTTTTTATCTAACACCCACTTTTTTG